TCACAATATTCAGCTGCACCTCTGAAGCAGTCAGCTGTTGGCTAGCTCGCCGTTCCTAACAAACTGGACACTGACTGAGGAGCACATCGTGAAACTAAATGTTCCTCTGATGGAGATGCTCCAGAACAATTCTGACTTTTGTGTTAAAATTCTGAGATGGTAAAAAAATTATGATTCTCCAAATCAAATGCGTGAGATCAACATTATAACTTGAGATAAAGAGTGTCGATGTTTTAATTAAAGCTTTTTAATATTATATTACGACTGAAATCCTCACAAACTTTAAGTCCGCTGCATTTAGAGATTATTAGACAAAACTTCAAAATACACGACTTTCAAATCAAAATTACTAAAACGATTTGAAAGCATCATTTTCTGTTTTTAAAAATGGAGGTTCATTTCTGAGTCTCTGGTGCTGATCATCACATGTTAACGTATCAATAATAAATTCATATAACAAACAAACAAACAAACAAACATGTATGTGGGAATATGTCGGCGTCTCTGGAATAAAGCTCTGCAGCCTGTTAACGGTGTGTGTTGTGTTTGAGTGCAGCTGATGGTGACGAGGCAGTAGTACTCTGTAATCCCATCAACAGTGAGTTAGCGACGAGCTAACAGCATTACACCACTTAGCCCTGAGTGTGTGTGTGTGTGTGTGTGTGTGTGTGTGAGGAGGATTTTTATCGAGCTGCTGCCATGGTCGCCCCTCCCCCCTCCATCCCACTGCAGTCGTGACTCACCAGCAGCTTGTGTGTTTTCATGCTATGCTAGGCCGGTGCTGGTGTGTGTGGGTATTAGCAGCAGCATGCTAGCCCACAGTGCTTTACTCCAGCTTGCGTCATCAGTGACGTTGGCGTCATTCAGCCGGCGCTTGTGCATCTCGTACATCAGCGGCGACACGAGCTGCATCTGAAGCAGCGGTGGAGGGGTGTGTGTGTGTGTGTGTGTGTGTGTGTGTGTGTGTGTGTGTGTGTGTGTTCAGAGGTGGGACACTGAGTCTTATTCTCACACGGAACAAACCTTGAAGGACCTGTTTGGGGGTTCAGACACAGTTTGAGAACCAGTTTTGGGTTCAGGGTCCAGGTCCTAACAACACACTATGTCAACAACAGTTTCCACAACGTTAGGTGAACAAACGTGTGTGTTTGTGTGTGTGTCGGTATTAGCAGCAGCATGCTAACATCCGTGGCCTCAGTCGAGCGTGCGTCATCGGTGATGCTGAAGTCACTCGGCTGGCGCTCGTTCATCAGCAGCCGTGAACTGAATTTGAAGGAACTTTGGAGTGTTTCTGTATCTGAGGACCAGCATTTGTTATTGTTTGTTTGTTTGTTTGTTTGTTTGTTTGTTTAGTGTTTTGGAAAGTGGGGACACTGTGTTGGGTTCTCACCTTTGGAGACCTGTCTGAGGGTCCAGACGTGGTTTTAGAATCGGTTCAGAGTCTGAGTCCTGACGACGGTGTCCGTTCACAACAGTCCCCACAACGACAGGAACACCAACCCGTGTGTGTAGCAGGACGTCCTGCGCTGTGATTGGCTGGACACTCATAATTATTTTAAGATGAACTCGTGGTTCCTGCTAAAATCAATCAATCAGGTTCAGTCGGTTACTTTCACAGACCAACGACATCATCGCTGTTGCTATGGTTACCTGCAGGTTAATACACCTTAACCTCAGCTCCAGAACAGAGGCTAAACTGTTGACCTAAGGTGTGTTAGCAGCGTGTTAGCAGCGTGGTAGCAGATGGCTGACAGCCAACGGGGCAGCACGGTGTTAAAGGGACAGTTCAACAGTTTAGAAACTGTTTTAAATGTTTTACTTTTTTTTTCAAGTGCAAACTAAATCATTATATGAAGTCATATTTTTGCATTAGAAACTCATGTTTAGCTCCTGTTAGCGACTTTTAGCTCCGCATGTCTCTTGTTTGCTGAAAAGCACATCCTATTACCTTCAATTAGCTTCAGTTATTGCCTCTCAGCTCTGGATATCTCATATTAGCTCCTGACAACTCCTCTTAGCTCCCATTAGCGACAGAAATCTCCTGCTACCTCCTGTTAGCTCCTTTGGCTTGTTGCTCCTGTTTGCTACAGAAAGCTTGGGTTAGCGCCTATGAGCTCCAGGTAGTTTAGGTTAGCTCCTAATAGCTCATGTTTACCACTGTTAGCTACAGAAAGCTCATATGAGCTCCTGAAGCCTCCCCTTAGTTCCTCTTAGCTTCAGTTGGCTTCTATGAGCTCCATGTAGTTTGTTAGCTCCTAATGGTTCCTACTTGTTAGCTACAGGTAGCTCATATCGCCTCCTAATGGATCTTCTTAGCTCCTATTAGCCACCATTAGCTCATATCTCATTTTATCTACAGATAGCTAATATTAGCTCTGGATGGATTCTGCTAGCTGCATAAAGCTCATGTTAGCACCAGTTTGCTCTTCCTAGCGCCACATACTTCATGTTAGTGCTAAATGGCTCCTTTTCATTTGTGAAAGCTTGTGTTAGCTACAGATGGCTAATATTAACTACTCGTGTCTCCTGAGGGCTCTTGTTAGCTACATAGGACTCCTATTAGCTCCTATTAGCTATGTTCACATCATCCACAGAAACCTTCTGTTAGCTCCAGCTAGCTCCTATGAACTCCAGGTAGTTCATGTTAGCTCCTACTGGCTCTTGTTCTCTCCTGAAAAGTTCCTTTAATCTACAGCTAGCTCATATTAGCTCCTTGTTAGCTCCAGCAGATAGCGCCTTTTAGAACCCGGCGACTTAAGAAGTCATAGAACACCACTCACGATCAAGTGACATGTTTTTCAGTATGTTTTTTTAGCATTTTCTCGAAGCTGAGTTTCTGGAAATGCAGCAGAAGGAGAATAATGTTTAGAATAAGAGCGATAAATAAAAAACTACAGTAATAAGAAAATACATCAAAATGGTGAACTGTTCCTTTAAGGGTGCTGCGGTGACCGTGGTGATGGTAATGGACGTCTCCTTGTGTAAGAGCTCAGAGCGTCATGGCAGCCGCTGTTATGTAACTGCTGGCACTCGGCCTCCTCTCTCTGCCCCCAGTATCATTCCAGTTTGATTCCATTCATGCCAGTTCCTGGTGCCGCTGTGACCCAGTTACCCCCCGTTGTGTTTGTGTTTGGACCCTCCATCACACCAATTAAAATACCGGCCAGAGGGAGGGCATCATTGTTCATTCATGTCTGTCACCCCCGGTTAGCAGAGAGGCAGAGGAAGCATTCGTTCATTCCTTCATTCATTCATTCATTCATTCACTGGAGGCAGTGTGTCATCAGAGCATCAACAATCATTTCCAGAGTGTTAAAATGTCCCTTTAGAGGTGTGGTGGTGAAACTACAGCATTTAGATTCTAACCTGATTCTGTATGGAATCCCATCTCTGCCAGAAAAAAAACCAAAAAAAACACATTTTATTATTCACAAAATTTTTAATTTTCATCGTCACAGTTAGAATATTTACTGTCACGACTTTGACTTTGGTGTTAAACTTATGAGTCTATAAAATATTTTGAGACCAAAACTATTGATTTAATAATCCATATATTTAAAAAAAATGTTTAAAAGTCAAAACTTTAAGAAAAAAATAAAATGTTATGAGTCAAGATGGAAAGTATTCGTACGGGTAAATAACAGTGATAACAGAAACAGTCATACAATGTGTTTGAAATAAAAACTGCAGCATTATTTTATGGAACTTGTGAGGTCCGAAACTCCAGCTGTGGAATACAAAGAGAATATTCTGACATTTTTGGTGAAATTAATCCGAATAACATCGTGTTTGTGCTCAGTATAAATAAAATGTGATAAAATTCAGAAATCATCAGACCAGATGTCAAAACATTGGCTTTTAAAATCAAAATTACAAAAATAAATTTAAATCTGTTTTCATTATAACTGTGAGACGATCAGTCGCTGTAACGAAATGCAAAGTTAAGGCTGTTTTGGCCAAAATGAGTTTTTGGTACTGAATTTAATTTCATAATTTTAAGTCAAACTTATTGTTCGGTTTAACCGACAGGCTGGCGTGATGTCCGTACTGTGTTTGTGTTTTACTTCCTTCATGTCAGACACACAGAGAAGCGGCTGAATGATGGAGGGATGAGGCGTCGCTGGCGGTTACATAAAGCGCTCGTCGAGCTGCTGAAATAAACATGAGGCCCAAATTACAACCAGAGTCACTGATTTATTCAAGACGAGCAGCTTTAAAGGGCCGTTCCGTAATGTGCAGCTGAAGCTACACTTCAGCTCGACCTGCACAGGTTCGATCCTTCGCTCCCTGAAGCTGGAACGCTTTTTGTTTGATTCCTTCACGTCGTGTTTGCAGAGCAGCGTTCTTTTCCTCATCTGCTTCCATCCCTGCAGGAGGACTGATGGAGTTATCAGCACTTTGTACAGTCAACAGGAAACACTTTAATGACGATAACGAGATCGATTCCTTCAATTAATTAAATATAAAGCAGTGAAATATGAGGACCAGCCACAGGAACGTGTGACCTGAGGAAGGCTTATGACATTATGACAACGTCCCCATAAATATATGAAAACAATCACAGCAGTCATGAGAAATTCATTCACGGCTCCGAAACCAGGTCAGAATTATTTATGGACTCAGGTTAAAACGAGGGAACAGCCAATCAGCATGAAGCCTGCAGTCCAACACATGAGATGCTGAGAAATCATCTGAAGAGGAAGATTATGAAACAAAAGGTCATAATTCATGCCTTGAAGTGAAAATGTTGACTTTTATTTAGTCATTGTTGACATGTTAAGATATGAAGCGTGTGGTGATGATGAATGTAATCCTGAACAGAGAGCCGTCATCTGTCGTTTCCTTCATTTCACTACTTTGTGTTTTACGGTTTGAGCTCTGAGCTAGCGCCCCCTGCTTGTCGCCTGACGCCGCTCCGTGCTGTGTTCTGCTGGTTTTCTTGACACTGGAGCCTTTGGGTTTGCTTTGCTGACAGCAGCTGGTGTGTTTTGTGGCTGCAGGCGTCTTCCTGATCCCCTACCTGCTGATCGTGTTCGTCGGAGGAATCCCCATCTTCTTCCTGGAGATCGCTCTGGGCCAGTTCATGAAGGCCGGAAGCATCAACGTGTGGAACATCGCGCCGCTGTTCAAAGGTACAGAACCGCTGCTCTTCTTCTGCTTCATCCTGCAGGTGTTACATGTTTGTTATTGTTTAGAGACAAATAAGAACAGAATGCAAACCCAAGTGTGTGAATACGTCACATGATCAGAATGAACCAATCAGCGAGAAGACGTCACATGACTGATGATGTGTTGATTACCTGCACATTTTAAATCAAAACTCAGCGTTTATTATCGTTATCTTTACGTTATCTTTACGTTATCGTTTCCTGCTGAGGAGCTCACAGACACATCAGCAGCTCAGTCTGCTTACAGCTGCATACGTTGAGTTTAATGATTACGTCCTGATACAAACACCAGGAGGATAAGCCGCTCGACCGTCACACGGTATCATTAAAAATAAAAGGTCTGGAACACGGATCATGGTCCATTTAACTGAGCTTTTTGACAAGAATTTACCAAAAAAGACTCTTTCAGATCAAAGTGAAACCAGGTTTCTACAAAGTAGTTCAATAAGATCAGTGAATGAGTCTCAGTGATTAAAGACTCGTCTATCTGGAAGGTCCGGTCCCTGGTGGATCAGAAGATGAGATGCTTCTCAACAACCTTCTCCCAGAGTTCTTGGAGGGTTCTTCAGTCCTCATGGTGTGGTTCTGTCCAGGAGTTCTGATCCACCAGGGACTGGACCTTCCAGATACAGGAGTCTTTCTGCTACAATCACTGAGATGATTCTGTTTGTTCAGCCCGGTTTGTGACCTAAATCTGGTCCAACAGCAGCGACTCGTTTATGAACTCAAAGGACGACAGTTTAGGAGGAAACCTGGAGATTCAAGGTCAAAGCAAACAAATGCGACGACAGCGACCGAAACCCTTGGCGTTTCCCGCCGAGGCCACGTTGCCACGGCAACTGGCATAAATCCATGCAGTAAGCAGTTGAGGTGAGTTTGAGTGGACGCGTCACATCGGGCTTTCTGTGGAGGTTTATCTGGAGGTGATAATCGGTGGCGGCTGTACGTGCAGACACACACACACACACCTGACTGCTGCTTTTATTCTCAGAGTTTATCAGGAACTCTTGACTCTTTATGACTCAGTTTATTGCAGACCTGCTGTGACCTCTGACAGAGTTTCACGTTCATTCAGTTCCACAGAAATCACAAGGAAACGCTCCGTCCTCTCATCTATGGTGTGAAAAGCCAGAAATCATCGAGTGGACGCTGTGGAGGCTCCTCATCCTGCTTACAGCCTCTGCACACACCGTCCTTGTTTTGTTTAGTGTCTCATTTATGTCGATTTCTTTGGGACACTTTTGTCCCTTTTAGTCATTTTGCGTCTCGTTTTTCTTGGTTTTTGTCATTTTATGTCTCAATTTTTACATTTTTTTGGCCTTGTTTCTCTTTGGAGTCTCATTTATGTCATTTCGTGTCTCATTGTATGAGTTTGTGGGACAGTTTTGTCTCTTTGAGGTCGATTCGTCTCCTCGTCCTGCAGATGTTGAACTANTAAAACACAAAGTGACAACGAAGAGACGAGAGTCACCACAAATCTGTTTAGAAAATCTAAACACAACAACAACTCTAAAACGATTTATTGCTGTGTCATGGTCCGTCTGGGAGGCTGTTTCCTGAAGGTTCTCATGTGGGGTTTTTGGTTTTAACCTCGAGCTGCTCGTCCTGATGCGGATCACCTCAGACGTGAAACAGAACATGAGATGTGTGACGTCGTTCTCGACCATCAGCGCTGCCGACGCACATGAAGCCCCTAATGTGTGTGTTGTGGGTCTGTGTGTGTGTTGCAGGTCCAGGTCTGGCCTTCATAGCGTATCCGAAGGCGGTCAGTCTGATGCCGGTGGCTCCTCTGTGGGCGGCGCTGTTCTTCTTCATGCTGCTGCTGCTCGGCCTGGACAGTCAGGTGATGCTCGCCTTCACATCAGCGGCACAAAGTCGAGATTTAGTTTAAACCTGTGAACTCCAACAAGCAGTTTCTGGATGTTTGTTCCTGTCACATGTTTCCTCACTTTGTCACTGCAACATTCAAAAAGACAGAAATGAGAACAAACTGACTCAAAATTATATTCAGACACTCACAAAACCACCACAAAGAGACACAAAACCACCACAAAGAGACACAAAACCTCCACAAAGAGACACAAAACCTCCACAAAGAGACACAAAACAACCACAAAGAGACACAAAACAACCACAAAGAGACACAAAACCTCCACAAAGAGACACAAAACCACCACAAAGAGACACAAAACAACCACAAAGAGACACAAAACAACCACAGAGACACAAAACAACCACAAAGAGACACAAAACAACCACAGAGACACAAAACCACCACAAAGAGACACAAAGCCACCAGAGAGATGTAAAATGACTACAAGCAGACACATGACGTCTGACTGACTGAATGTGTGATAACGTTTCCGGTCACTAAAGTGTTCTCTCGGTGTGTGTCTGCAGTTTGTCGGCGTCGAGGGGTTCGTCACTGGGATCCTGGATCTGTTTCCTGGAAAATACTACCATCGCTACAAAAGGGANCACTGATTAATGTCCACAGTCTGAAGGTAGAACTCTGGTCAGTAGATAAAGGTTCTGCAGACACAGAACCAGATGTTTAGTTGATTTTATGTGAATAAACGTGTAGACATTTGGAATAATTATTACTTCCATTTTCCCCAAACGTCTGCGTCAGACTGCTCAGAAACATCTGGATGTGTTTGGTCCCAGACGGACGTTTCCTCCAAACCACTGAAGCTTTGTCGTGTCTGCAGGTCTGGGCTACGCCTCCATGGTGATCGTGTTCTTCTGCAACACCTACTACATCATGGTTCTGGCCTGGGGCTTCTACTACCTGATCAAGTCCTTCAGCTCCACGCTGCCCTGGTCGTCCTGCGACAACGACTGGAACACGCCGAGCTGCATCGAGATCTTCCACCACCAGGACTGCAAGAACGCCAGCCTGGCCAACACCACCGTCGGCAGCAGCAACATGACCTGCGCCGAGCTGGCCGACGCCCGCTCGCCCATCATCGAGTTCTGGGAGTAAGTCTGGTTCTGCTCGGGTTCTGGTCACGTGGCTTGGAGGTGTTCTTGTGTGTTTCTGCACTTTGGGCCAAGTCGGACCGACTGGTTCCCCTCGTTAGTCTCTAAACCGTCACACAGAGAACTGAAAGCATAAACAGATGATAGAAATACATCCAGAAATAAAAAGTAAATAAGTTTAAGTGATGAAAGACCAAAGAATGAAATCAGTTTGATTAACTTTGACATTTTCAGACATCAGCTCTTATTGTTGCTTCTTCTCTTTGTCTCCGTGGTTTGGTTCTGTTTTATTTACTCAGTCTGCTGTGTCTTTATTTATTAGTTCTACATTTAGCGTTTTATTTTCTCCTACATTTGTCTCTAATTTGTTTTTGCTAATTATTAGTTCCACATATAGTGAAACAAGTTGCCAGTTTGAATGATGTATTCTCCGTTTAATCAGTAAATATGTTCATTTAATTCGTGTATTTTTCACCACTCAAATTAGGCTTAAACTTGAAAACACAAATTTAACTTTCACCTGTTCAACAGAAATGAAAATCTTATAAAATTATAATAATTTATTCCACAGATATTTTTGTGTATTTTGAAAATACGACAAAAATCAGTCAAATAAAAGGACAAATATCACAAATCACATTTTTACTTGGATCTAGTTGTAGAAAGAGATTTACACTGTGAGACCTGGATTTAACCAGTTTTGTACAGAATACTTGTGAATGATGTTGGGTTTGTATCTGAACCTTGTGTTCGTGTTGCTCTGTGCAGGAACAAAGTTCTGAACATCTCGTCGGGTTTGGACGAACCTGGAAACCTGAACTGGGAGCTCATGTTGTGTCTGATGGCCGTCTGGGTTCTGGTTTATTTCTGCGTCTGGAAGGGAGTGAAGTCCACCGGGAAGGTGAAGTAATGTTTCCTGAACGTTGTCTGTTGAACTGATCGGAAACGGAACCGCTGATAGAACCGAACCGCTGACAGTCAAATTAAACAGCAGAATAATGAGACTGGTGCCGTTATTACGGTTGTCATCCAGTCATTAACAAGTCAAAAACAAGTCTCAGTCTAGTCCGAAAGTAGTCTAAGTGCAGCTCAAAACTAGTCTACAACCAGTCCAAAACAAGAGTGAAATAAGTCCTAAACCAAGTCTAAATCTAGTCTCAAACCAGCCTGAATCTAGTCTGAATCCAGTTCAATCCCAAGTCTGAATCTAGTCCAAAAACAAGTCTCAATCGAGTCTCAAACCAGCCTGAAACTGGTCCATAACCAGTCTAAAACTGGCCTCAGTCTACTTCAAAACTACGTCTGTCTCTGGTCCAGAACCAAGTCTAAATCTAGTCAAAACCCAGCCTGACACTAGTCTGTAACTGGTCCCAAACCAGTCTGAATCCAGTCCAAAGCCGAGTCTCAGTTTAGTTTAAACCCATCAAAGGTCACTGTCGCCTCAAAGAACGGGTTTTTGTCCAGAACTGAAGACTTAATGCTCTGATCTCAACAAAATGTCCCATCAGTGGTTGTTGTTGTTGTTGTTGTTGTCGTGGAGCAGCAGCTTCCTGCCCTTCAACAAAAACACAGACTGCTCCTTTAAAGCTACAACCTTCAGATGAACGCTGCGTGCTCATTGGCTCGTGACGATGACACTCGCTGCTCTACGCTGCGGTCACATGGCAGGATCAGCGTTGCCATGACGACCCCGGTGAGGGGGGACCGCGGGGGGCTGTGAGGTGGCGCGCCGTGATTGGCTGCGCGGCGGGAGGGCAGCTCGACTGCAGTGGGACGTGACTGAGAGCCAGTCGGAGAGAAATCCCCCGAACTGCAGCGCATCAGCGTCAGCAGGAGCTTCAGCACTCATCATGATGACGGGTTCTACCACCAGAACCATAGCCAGAGTAAAGACAGTACAGAGCAGCTGGAGAACAGGAACCAGATGAAATACAAACATCAGAACACGTCAGAACGGGTCAACAGAGTGAAGCACCTGGCTTCTGAGGAGAGGTTTGAAGCAGCGACCCGATGCCGCTCAGAGACCAAGATCCAGGACTCCTGAGTCCAAACCTGATGGACACTGAGGCTGCAGAGTCCACAACCAGTCCAGAACCTGTCCAGAACCAGCCCAGAACCTGTCCAGAACCAGGTCCAAAGACATGGAGTCTGGATCTTACACGGAGACGGACTGAAACCACTAACGAGCTGAGGCCAGTTCTCCAAGATGGCTTTAAAACCAGTTTCTAACTAGGCCCAAACTGGTTTCCATTTTAGTCCAAAACTAGTCTACAACCAGGCAGAAACTAGTTCAGAACCAGACTTAAATCAAGTCTAAAACCAGTCCAACACCAGTATAAAACCAAATTAGAAACCAAGTGTACAACCAGTCCAAATTAAGCCCAAACCCAGTCTGAAACCAGTCCAGAACCAGTCTCAAGCCAAACTAGTAGTAAAGCCCAAGATCATTAAAGAACCAAATCCAGTCCAAAACTAGTTACTGAAACTAGTTTCAAACCAAATTTAAACTGGTCAGTAACCATTTCACAACCAAAACGAGCCCAAAACCAGAATCAACACCAGTCAGAACCCACTCAGAAGCCAAGCCTTCATCACTGTAGAACCACAATGAATCAAACCTGTGTCAGACCGCGTTCAAACCAGTTCGAAACCAGTTTCAAACCAGTAGAAAACCTAAATCAAACCTGTGCAGTCAGAAGACACGAAGACGTTTGAAATACACAGAAACTCTGTGTGTGTGTGTGTGTGTGTGTTGTGCTCCACGTTGTGTCTCACGGCTCTCACTATCATCAGTTTGTGTTTTTGATCAGCAGGAGGCTGAAAGCTGAGCGGGCGATCGAGCCTGAAACAACCTGGGAGAGAGAGAGAGAGAACCTCCAACGTGTTCTGGTTCAGCTCAAGTCAGGAAGTCAAGTCACTCATGTGGCTAAAACAGGGAAACACCACGACATCCATGACCAACATTAGCCCCGAACCAGTCCAAAACCAGTTTGAAATCAGTCTAAAACCACATCCAAACTATCTAAGACCAGTACCAAACCAGTACCAAACCAGTTACAAACCAAACTAGTCTAAAACCAGCCCAGTCCTGAATCCAGTCCAAAACTAGAGTAAAACCTAGACTAAAACCAGTTTAAAACCCGTTGAAACTTGTCTAAAGCAGAGTTTAAATCCAGTCCAGAACCAGTATAAACTGTCCAGAACAAGCCCAGATCCAGAACTCATGAGACGGAACACATCGGACTCTGCTGCTGACAGAACAAACCCAAAGTTTATGAAACATGGAGGGCAGTGATTCTCTGAACAGAAGTTCTGAATGAAGTGAACCCGACAACCTCGGTGTGTGTTCGTGAGGCCGGTGTGTGTGTTGACCCGGCAGTGTGGGATTGTGGGTAAAAAATGTCCTCCGCTGTGATTTGATTGAAACTCGAGTCCACCTGGGACCAGACGGTCTCCACGGCGCTGGAACTCCACATTCCTGTCGGGTTCGCGTACGTCGAGTCTCAGCGGGTCTCGGATTCGGTTTCATCTCGTTTGTTTTTGTTACCTGGTTCTCACCGTCCGGTTCTGGTCCAGCTGAGCCAAGTCGAGAGAGTCGAGGGCCCGGGCTGAGCTCACAGAGTGTGTTTGTGTTTCAGATCGTGTACTTCACGGCGACCTTCCCCTACGTGGTCCTCATCATCCTGCTGGTCCGAGGAGTCACGCTTCCTGGAGCCTACGACGGCATCATGTACTACGTCAAACCCGATTGGTCCAAACTGGGGGAGGCTCAGGTCAGTTCAGATCCAGAAACACCAACCTGACCAGGTTTACTTAGTAACCGCAGCACTGACTCCTAGAAAGAACTCCAGACTAGAGTGAAAGCAGTTGGAAACTATCCAGGAACACTTCCACAACCAAGTCTGAGTGAAGGTCAGAACCAGAACACTAGTCTGAAAACTATTTCTGGACAAAACCAGTCTGAGACTAGCTAGAAACTAGTCTGGCTCTTTATCATAGTTAAAGTTTCTTTGCTCCTCTTGGTCAACAAAGTGCCTTAAAGTAGTCGAAACAACCCAGACCATGGACAGCATCTTGTCCTTTAGCGTGGTAGGACGTTCCAGCATGTCCTCAGGAGACATCTCTCCTCAGCATGTAGAGCTTCTTAGATACTTCAGAGTTCGTTCATTCAGTGAGGAACCCTCCTAAGAAAGTAACTGTTGAACCTTCAGCTTCAGTTTTGTTGCTGAAACTGATCCTCTGAGTGTCGGTCGGCTGGTGTGAGTCGGTCTGAACCTTTCAGGAGGGTAAAGAGGAGAACATAGTTAGAGTTTCAAGCTTCAGAGCGGCTCAGTGGTGAAATGTCTGGACTCTGAGGTGACCTCTGACCTTTGACCTGCAGGTTTGGATCGATGCCGGCACTCAGATCTTCTTCTCGTACGCCATCGGCCTCGGAGCTCTGACCGCTCTGGGCAGCTACAACCGCTTCAACAACGACTGCTACAAGTACGTTTGTCCAAACTGTTACCCCAACAAGTACCCCAACAAGTACCCCAA